ATTTATACAATATATAAATATGTAATTTTTACATGGTAAAAATTAATATTGGGCAGGTTGGGGAGGTTTAAAGTATATAGCAGTGTATGAAACATATAATCTGCTTTCAGTATGAACTTTTACGTGTTCTTGTATAGTGTTTTTTTGAAAGCTTAGATTGATGTCAAGGGAAGAGTCCAGCTCCTTGAATATTTTACCTCATTACAACCTAGTGTTCTCCGAAACGGAAATTTCATGGACCGCTTTCCAGTACGCTTTATTATTACACATGACTTAGTGACATTTGCTGTGCATTTAGCTGTCTGTCAACTAGATTAACCCCCAGCTTTAGAAAGCACGGCAAGCTAATTTATATTGATCTCACACTTCTCTTTACCTGCAGAATTGGACTGGCTTAGTAACCCAAGCTTCTCTACGGAAGATGCACTGTTACTACATCAGCGTGCTACAGAAGGTACAAATCTCATCCCTGAAAAATCACCACTACTGACAAGGTAGAATATACTTCTGTATCTTTTAAAACAGGCTTGCTCTTTTGTCCTGCTTATCTTTTGTTATGCAAGACCAAAATCAGGAGATTTTAGGGCTGCTTTTCGTTCCACCATTTTGTATTTTAAAAATCCTGAACTGAGTCATATGTAAAAGTACAAATAACGCTTCCATGTTCTTCAACTTAAAATAATGAGAAATTATACTTAAGCAGTTACATTCCCATGTTCTTTTTCTCACAGCTGCATTTGAATCATCGTTATTTTGGAATGGAAAGGGAACTGAGTGATCATAATTCTGTTATTTTGGAATGGAAAGGGAACTGAGTGATCGTAATTCTTCATTAGCTTTTGAATGTCCTGAGTGACCCTTGAAATAGTGTAAAGATTAAGCATGATCTTTGTGATTTCTTTGTGAAAACCAGTTCAGTCAGCCATTTCATAGTCAAGTTTGTTACTTTTTAAAAACCAGTTGAAGATGTGACTTCCTGAAATACTACACGTATCAGGTTGTGCTGCTAGAACATGCTGATCACTGAAGTGGGTGATTACATTTTTTTACTAAAATGGGCTTTAAGCAGCCATGTTTGCTAAAGAACTGATTTTAATACCTTCACTAGAATAGCTGCTATACTTGGCATATCTACACTGTAACTAGCGCTTAATAATTAATGATTAATGGAATCAAGTTGCAGTTGCCAAGTTAAAAATCTGAGTGATTTTTAATTTGATGCAAGCTCCTATGTTTACAATAAGTGTTGGTGGTCATGATAGAATATATCTTTGTACTAACAAGCACTGCTGAATGCAATTTTTTGTATACTTATTCTTACATTTATATGCATTGTGTGATTGAAATGCAGTCACTGCTCTGTTCATCAATCAGTATATTCTGCTTGCATTTGTTCAGACCTTTTCCGGACTTCAATGTCATAAACCTAAGGAATTTACGAATTACCATTCAGATAGGATGACATAGTAAACCCACCATATTTAATTAATCTTTGAAAAAGAATTTGTCAAAAACTATAGCGTGCAGAGAAATGTTTTGTCTTTTTGCCTGTTACTGGGGTGCATTCTTGGTTTAATTAAAACCAATTACTCAACGTGATTGGTGGTTTTGGGGGGAGTTGGTTTAGTTTTTTGGTTTAGGGGAGTGTGTGTGTGTTTGTTTTAAAGGCCTGCTAGTGGTTCTCCCATGGCTTTTTTTTTTATCTTGGTGCCCTTAGATTGTGTAGGTTGGTTGTGTTCTTTTGAGATGCCTTGCTATTGAAATGCAGCATTTATTTTATTGACATATTAGGAATACTGAGACTTGTCACTCCTTTATTTTATTGAAAGATCCCAGAAAAACTGCTTAAAAAGAGCTTATGCTTTAATTAAGGGTTAGAGAAGACCTCCATTATTTCAGTTGATTCTTAAGTATGGGAGTGTTTATAGTATGTAAAACACGATACATATGTTTTGCCAAAACTATCTGTTGTTCGAGTGATCTCTCAGTCAGTTGTCTGTTGCATGTAGTGGTTTTTTTATACATTATATTATGTAATAACATTCGTTCAGTAGTCATGAAAAATGGTTCCTTAGTTGGTGAGAATTGTATTTCTAATCTGGAAGTGATTTTAAAAGTATGTTTTTGGTATGTCTTATGTAAATCATAAAGAAACAAGGAAAAAAATGCAGATTTTTCACTTCTGCAGGTCATCCTGAAAGATTTCTTATCCTTTTTAGCTTGACCTAAGTTGTCCTCGCAAAATCAGGTAATTTTATCAGCTCAGTCATCTTTAATTTGACAGTGATAACAGATGGATATTTATACAGATCAGACATCAAAATGCCTTTGACAATTAAAACTTTGACTGGTCGTCAGTAATTCCAGCAGCTGAAAAAATACAGTTGTTGTTTAATACAGATATATATTGTTTCCATTTTATGTGTTGCTGCTAATTCACTTCTTAAAAAATGCAGAGAGAATAAAGATAAAGGGTAAAATTATTCTGAACTTCCTTATGGTGGTATTTCTTTACAATTCTACTATTCAGGTATATATACGTACATATGTACTTGTTTCCAAGCAGGACTACTTCAAGATCAGAGTTGTCAGAGGAAAGTGATACAGATGAGAGTCTGAAAGAGTCAAGTAAGAAAAGGAAAAAGAAAAAGAAAAAGAGAAAGCATCACCACTATAAAAAGGCAAAGAAGAAAACCAGAGGGGACTCCAGTAACAGCGAATCAGATGTGGACATTAAGCACAACAAGGACAAAGGTGCGGGAAGTGGCAGAAATCACAAAAAGGGAGCAGCAGCAAAGTATGTATTTATTACTACTATGAAAGATGTAAATTTATTGTGTTCTTGTACTTGGTACTCATCTCCTCAACTTCATGAATGAAATTCTTACCACTGAGAGGTTTTTTTTTCTTGTATTTTTTTATTTTTTTTTTTTTTTTGCTAAGCTAAACCTGCATTCAGAGCAATGAAAATAGAATTAGAACCACTTGTTTAATATGCCCAGATGAAAGAGTTGAAGTCCTTTCAGGGTGTTTATTTTTACTTCTTTCCATAAATTGTTGATGCTGAGAGAATATAATTTTTTTCAGGAGACTGTTTCTGCAACCTGAACCACAAAATTGCTCTAAATCCAGTAGGTCTTGTGAAATTTTAGAAAGTTTCCCAGGATGGTAAAACTCGTTTACTTAGTTACATATGAATTCAGATTGGAAGTTCATAGTTGTCTACAGTTAGGAGGCAGGTGGCAGTTTCCACTTCAATTCTTTTGCGTAACTGCAATTTGTATACCACTTTGATGTGCACTGTTTTGTCAAATGCATGGGTATAATTACAGCTAATCAGCAAAATCCCTTACAGATTATCATCTTTTTTTCTGAATTGCAGCATTTTGCTAAGAAAGAAGTCAATTTTAGAAGTGATATATGGCTTTTAGATGATAGTTTGCCAAGCGATTGATTTAATCTGGTTATTGCTTTCCGTAATCGTAAATCCAATTTTTGGAAGTTCAAGCAGTGTTTGTGTTTTGTTTTGATGGTCCTGTTAGTGTATTTCTAGTTGTTTTTTATCTGAGCATGTGACTGACTTCGCAAGAATGGTCATATACCATGACTTTGAGAAAATTAAATAATTAACTACCAAAATGCAATGTTTCCTAGGTTTTGGGAATGCTGAATATGTGCACAAGTGTTTAGAATATACTTTTCCTTCTCTGCAGTCTAGATAAGAAAACATCAAATCCTACCAGCAGTCGCTCTGTTTGGCTTGATGATATCGAGGCTTCTACAGCGGAAACCTTCAGAATAGATAAGAACCCAGACCCTGCAAACTGGGCCTACAAATCCCTGTATCAAAGGGACATAGCAAGGTACAATATGTTGGTTTCTATTGGTATTCAACCTATCACAAAGTCAGTATCTCAAGATTCATTAACTTAAGTCTGGCTGTGACATTTTGATGTTGGAGATGAGAAGTTAGGATAACTGAATAGCTTGCTTGGTTTCTGTTTTGCCCCCCAATTTTACTTTACACTGGGCATAGATATTTTCACAGGCAAAAAATGGCATGAAATAATGGGAATAAAGCGTGTGATTTTATTTTTTTCTAAAAATATTCCCTGTATCCTCGCAGGCTGCAGGCGTGTGAGCTTATAGAACTTCCAGCTGGAGGTGGCCACATGGGGCAGATTCAAAAGCATGATTTTGCGGTCAGAAATCCCAGGTTCTGTTATAGATCATTGGGCAAGTGCCCCTTTTGATCTCTATTGTTCTGTTTCTATCTGAAAGAGAAAAGAAGGTACTGATTATTTCATGCTAGATTTTTCAAAAGGTTTCGTTTCTTTGGTAGCTTGATATCTTTGCACAAAATACAGGTACTTCCTTAGCAAACAGATTCTGTGTTAGATCACCCAGACGTTGTACCAAAGGGTATCTTATACATCGCTGCATTTCAAATGAGTATAGATGAAACTGCATATTCAACATCCTTGGTGGGTTACTGGTACTGTGATGACCCTTCAGAACATTTCCTGACATTAATGAAGACCATCTAAGGAAGCCTATGCTGGGCTCATGCATTATGTATGTACACATAATTCTTGATGTTCTCAAGGAAAATTGTATATATAAAAAGTAATCATTTATAGAGGAGGGAGGATTTATGGATTCTATTTTTGTAGTGTATATACCTTTGCAGTAAAATTGCCTGCTTACAATCTATTCCAGTTTTCTGTTACCTTTGGATTGTCTGCTACTGTTTGAGAAGAAAACTGTTATTTTAGTATTGCACATCTGCCACCGAAATGACATTCTTGCTGATGGTTTAAGATGGTGTTTTCCTTTCTTAATCCATAGAGTTATTGCAGCCTTTATGAACCTGGTCTCTCTTTCCTCTCCAGCCCACTGCCCACTTGGCATATAATATGGACAGAGGCTTAGGGATACAGAAAGATGTTACCAGACTGAACTACTAGTGTTTGTATTTCAGTTTAAAATAATCTAATTTAAATAGCCTTAAATAATATTGTCTGATGTTCTTTGTCCAGGTTTGTCTACATGGCTTAAAATGATAGGGAAAAAAAAAATCTTCTACTGAGTATGGCAGATACTGTTGAACTCTGAAGAAACTTAATAAAAATCAAACAATACAAGTTTAACAACAATAAAAGTTGTGATGGCACTGAAAAAATATATGAAATGAAGTCTTAAATAAAGAGAACGTTACCAAGTTCATACACTTTTAAAGGTGTATGCATACATTATTTGGGTTAATTTGTATTACTTATTCCATGTTTTCTTTCAAAAAGGAGGTATCATTTCTCATCTGTATTTTAGAAGATGTTTAATTGTGTTTTTCCTTCTAAGATATAAAAGGAGAGGAGATTCCTGTCTTGGCATAGATGCCAAGAAACAATCTATAACTTGGGAGAGTTCTACATCAAAAAAGAAGCAGTTGCAGAGGCAACCTGAGCGTTACTTCACAAAGGACAATGTGAAGATGCTGAATACTGATGGAATACCTGTTTGCAGCAAAATTTCACCATCTGACCCACCTAGTTTTATACCGGTTCTCCAAATGGAAACTGATAATCCTTCAAACACAGCAGAGTTAAATCCTCTTGGGATTTATGATCCATCAACTTTACTGTGGCTTCAAGGAAAAGGGTGCAAGAGTGCAGACCATGAGCCTGAAAATACACAGCAAACAATTCAAGAGCCTGGAATAAACATTAAGTCTGATCTGATGGCAAAAGTGGAAGAACATAACAAGAAAGTCAGAGAAAACCCAGGAGATATTAATGCTTGGATGGAATTTGTTTCTTTTCAGGTATGTGTATGTGTTCTGACAGACCTGCTTGCTTATTATAAGTAATAAATACATGAACATTATAATTGTAGTTTCATTTGTTTAGGACTGTATATCTTCCATTGGTGAATTAAGAGCTGTTAATTCATCTTCACAATTGTCAGCATTCTTCTTGTGATTTTAGTGGTGATTCTTTCTAATGTAAAAGCATTGATTTTTTTTTTTTTTTTTTTTTCCTTGTTTTAAGGATGAATTGATGGGAGGACCTGGCCCTTACGCCAGTAAGGGAGAGCAGGAAGTAAGAAGAAAATCACTGAAGTTTATCTTAGAAAAGAAACTAGCAATTTTGGAGAAGGCAATTGAAAGCAATCCAAGTAATGTTGATCTGAAACTTGCCCGGCTGAAGCTTTGCACAGAATTCTGGGAGCCACCAGCTTTGATCAAAGAATGGCAGAAGCTAATTTTCTTACATCCCAATAATCCAGAGCTGTGGAAGAAATATCTCCTTTTCTGCCAAAGTCAGTTCACTACCTTTTCTGTTTCAAAAATCAATAGTCTCTATGGAAAATGTTTGACTACGCTGGCAGCTGTACAGGACGGCAGCATGGTATCACATCCTCTTCTGCCTGGCACAGAAGAAGCTATGCTAGGTAAGGCTCTTTTTGTTTCACATTATGGTCAGAACTTCATAGGAGTTAACTACATTTTCTTTAAGAATAGACTTATCTATGTGTTACAGGAAGTTTTTATTCTCTTCAAAATGCCTGTCATCCTGATTCCTTAGCTGAGAATTAAAGCTGATATTCCAGCCAAATATGGATATAACAGATGCTTTTTTTCCCAAGGGGAATTTGTGATATAACATCCAGTAAAGTCAAATGTGGTGAGTGGTTTTCAGTACGAATGTCAAGGCTGGAGAATTGCAGCCCACAGCCAAGAGATGTGCTTTTATCTTTGAAAAATATTTATTTAAAAAAAACCAAAAAAAAGTTGGCTTGTGAAAGAATCAGTTATCTCTTGTTCAAAAGTTTTATGGTTAGTTACTTGAATCCAGGAAAGAGAAGGGACATGGGAAGTCCTCCGTGAAATTTTCTTTAGCATCCCAGTTTGTAGATGAAGAATTCTAAACTGTAATACTATGTGATCATGTCTTTTTATTTATTGTAAGCATACATCTACTACTTATAATTTATGATGTAATTATCCCTGGAAAGAAAATTAGTCAGATGGTTGGGATGCTGGACTGAGTTCTGGGAAGAAATGAGTTCCTGCTCAGTTCTGGCATGGCCTTTAAATTTATTTGGAGCTAAATGACTTAACTTACCCCTTTTCAATTTTGCTTCTCTGCCTCAGGGGTCATTGTGATTATTAATCTATGAATACACTGAGGAGGGGAAAATATTAGTGTTACCATGAATATGCTAGGTTTTTTTCCTTTTACAATTCATTTTAAATCTAGAGGAGACTATTACAAAGCAGTCCACATTTCTTCATGTGTGACATGGTCCAAGGAACCTCTGTTTTTATCCAAGTCCTGTGATGGCTGTTTGAGCAATGATGCTAGCTCTTATGCAGTGTCTAGTTTGGACTTAAGATCGAGATGCTGGGTTACAGTTTAGTTTCAGGTGTTCAGATCGCTTATGGTCTTCAGTTCATTTATGTTGGATCAAGCACTGGAAAAAGTGCTGGAAAGGAAAAATCCCGTGCTGGCAGGTGGATATTGTACCGCCTGATAACTTCTAATTGCTTCTGCTGTCTCTGATTTCCAATGCTTCAGTCACTTGGGCACTTAGGTGCAACCACAGTGAATGATTCTTAGGACAAATGTTTTATACAGCATCTATTTTTTTTTTTCTTTTTCAGTCAGGAAGGTTTTTCTTTAATTTTGTTTGCCTGCCCAGAACATACTTGGCTTGTTAAATACTGTTTATCCATTTATATGAGGTCACTGTTTTTTTTAATGGAGCTCCTTTTAATTTTATTAACTGTTTTAAATTGATTTATGTTTTTCAAAATACTTGTTTGCTGGAAATGTCTATAGCTAGGTTAAAATGAAAATGAGCTGAGCTTTGTGTTTCTGTTCCACTCTTAATGTCTTTTCCTGTATTAAGACTCGCAATTTGATGGTTTTGGTTTGGGGGGGGGTGGGGGTGTTTTGTGGGGGGGGGGGGGGGGTATGTGGTTTTGTTGTTTCGGTTTTTTGGTTATTTTTTTGTTTGTTCATGATTTGTTTGGTTTCCTCCCCTCCCCGTTTTGGAATTCAAATGATACAAGTGGAGAGATTTCCAGTGGGGAGACTTACTGATCTGAGATTTTTTTTTTTTTTAGTGACTCAGCTATTTAATTCTTGGGCTGAATTTGCATTATCAGTGCACTTATTAGGAAGATTACAAAATTTTTAATTAAGATAAATATACAAAGAGTTTCACAAATTAATTGTCAGGTAAGTATCAGTGTGGAAGTATGGTAGGCTTGTGTCTTCAACCTTTGACCTTTGTGATGACAGTGTAAGAGTCAATTTTAAATAGTGGTGGACCCTGCCATCTAGTGTTCAATTCAGTACGCAGTACTATCTACTTGGAAATACCTGGGTGTGTTTTTACAACATGAAATTTAAGAAAGCAGGTCAAAATGAATTTAAAGTTATACATCAGTTTTACTTAGATTTTGAGATAACAATTTGTAATGTTTTACATTTACTAAGACCTGTTAATATAAAGCAGATGAAGGTAAGCATTCTCAAATTTTACTGTGAGAAGGGAGTCCTGGTTTTCATATTATACCTACTGGCTGGGGAGAAACAACCTTATCTTTTAGGTCAGTTCAGCTGCAGAACTGTCATAACATCATGACCTGAATTAAGTGTGTATTCAGGACGTTTTCAACTTTCACCACCAAAAAAAAAAACCCAACAAAAAAAAACCAAAAAAAACACCAAACAACAAAAAAGCTGATCTTTGCATGTCTTCAAATATCTCTTTCTTTTTTATCATGCAGAAAATCTTATGCTAGAATTTATTTTTGACTCCAGTTTGGCAGCAAGTCCTAATGAGATATTCTCTACATTCAGACTATTTTAATCAAAGCTGTTTGAAGCTGAGAGGAGAGGAAAGGATAACTCTTTCCATGTCAGTTGGACACACTGCCTAAATGGGTTTGGAAGGTTCTGTTATGTACTTAAGCATACTTTTTGTTGTTTAAATATCTTCAGAAATTGCAGGATCTTCATTATCAAAACCAGTCACTGACGTTGCAGGAAAATCAGGTGAAATGCCTAGTTTGTATATTCTAATGGAATTCAAATTTTTATGTGTACACATCTGATGTAAATCTGAATATGGGTAAAAGGAGTAAATTATTTGCCACTTTGTGTTAAAAAATAGAATGTTCATTAGAAGCAGTTGATGTGTGCATGCAGCCACTTAAATATTTTGATTGTTTAAAACTCTCTAAAGCAAATGAATTTAATGAAGAAACAGTAGTTTTTGAAGAACTGTTTTCAAAACTGTAAGTTAATTATTTAAGACTTGATTTATGGGATTTGAGTTGGGGTTTTTTTGTAAGCCAGTTAATAAAATGATTTAAAGCAATTTGATTTTTGAACAGCCACTGTTTTGTTAAGACTTGAGTGTAATTTGGAGTAATGGAGTACCTTTGAAATGTCTTTGAACTGCCTAGTAATAGAGGTTTTCATAATAATGTTATTTCTCCAGCTCTTTCATTTAAGACTCTTGTTGCAGATACATGAATAGAAAAACTGGGCTTTGCTTCTCTTTTTAAGCTGAGGATTGAGGCCCAGTGTGTGGTAGGGATATGACAGTGATGACAGAAATAATCTGTTGAAGACCAAGGGGTAGGACTCTAGTTTTAAGCAGTAATACTTTGACCAAAAGACCAGACTTAACTTCTCTTATGTAAAGGAAAAGAAAACGGGATTGACAGTTGGAATGAAAGGGTATGTTACTGACATATTACCAGTGTAACTAGCTAATACAACACAGGCAAAACCCATTTTTGTTCTGATCACTTACTGTGTGAATTGTAATAATGCCCTGCATTTTCAGAGGTGACAGTGACCCACTCTGACAGATGTTGGATAAACTGAAGTTGGTACCATTGCATAAAACTTTTATTCATCCAAAAGGACAGTTCTTGTGAGGCATGAATAAAAACTCATCTTTTGGTGCACTTGAAGTGGGAGATCTTAAAGTTAAACTACAACAGTTTTGACAGGCATTTTTGACATGCAGTAGCTGCTCCCTGTGTTTTGGATTTTGATACTGTTCAATAACAATTATACTCTACAGCATTTACGTATGTCTTTTTTATTACAGCCCACAAATATGCAATACTTTGCAACAAAATTTATTTGAAATACTAAAACTTTATCTTCTTTACTTTACAGCTATATTTGTTCAGCAGTGCCACTTTCTGAGACAGGCTGGTCATTCTGAGAAAGCAGTGTCTTTGTTTCAGGCTCTGATTGACTTCACCTTCTTTAAACCTGACAGTGTAAAAGATCTGCCAACAAGAGGACAGGTAACAGTTTCCATTTAAATGGGTGTATGTCCTTTTGCATTACAGAGAATGTTGCAACGGAAAAATGTTGATGAATTTTTAAGGATATGGGGAAGTATTTTGAATCACAACTTACTTTACAGATCTTCAGGGTGATGCTTGCATTGGAAAAGTGCTTGTGAGTCCTCTGGAACTACCTGCCAAATGGCTGCTTCTGCTGTATATAGTGGGAGTGTGATAACTAGTCATTTCATATCTTCTGTTTTACTAATTAAATATGAAGAAAAATGAGCTGGGTGACCGGCATCTGTATCTAGTTAGCACTTCCCCTGCTTCTTTTACCCAGAACTACTGCTCTTTTGTTACTGTTGATGGAGAAAGCTAATAGGACTTATGACCTCTGTTCTGCACAGTTTTTGCAAACATTTCTTAGGTTCTCCGTCATCTGTTATTTTCACTAATTCTTTGGTGGCTACATTAGGAACACCTTCATGCTTTAAAGTATCTTTTATCTGGCACATGAGATTCCATTCAGCTATTTCTGTTAAAGTACTAAATCATATTTTCTCTTCATTTGCTCAGGAGGATATTGGGTGTGCACCCCAATAATAATCAGTAAGTTAGTATTAGAGGGGGCTGTCGCCAGCGTAGCATCATCCCACTGAACTGCCAGGAGCTGCTTCCTTTTTAATGACTGGTAGGGAGGGCCACCAGTTAGGCAGCTGGGCTACCATAGAGAGCAGAAATGTGATTTCCTTCTTCCCCAGCAACCACTAAATGAGACTCCGTTTTTGCTCTCTAGATTAATGCACCACCGGGAGTGGTGGGGGGAAGAAGGGGAGGAGCGGGCGAGCGAGCGGCAATGTGATTCTGAGTTACCAGCTGGGCTTAAACCACGACAGTAGTTTAAATAATAGTAGTGTCCTCTTAAAGAGCCCAAACTTTGATTAAACAAGAAAACTTCGATTGAACAAGAGTTCAGTCAGAATTGCCATGCAGGATAGGAGATTAAGTATAGTTAAACAGATAAAGCTAGAGTTATACTTCCAATCATTTGAAAAACTGCAGGATTATCTGTAATGTTTAAAAACTTAGGAAAGCAGGATGAAAAGGAACATCAGTTTAAAAGGACAGTATTTAGGTTGGAAGGTGCAGTTCTTGAAAGTAGGAAAATGCCAGGTTTACAGCTGATTGCACATTCTTCCCTCTTACAGAAGCATTATGGCTCAGTCTTGAATAACTTGTTTCTGTACTGTTTTCATACTTCTCTTTCTCACTTGGAGAAAAGAATGAATCCATGAGGAGCAAAATTAGATTTTGCAGTTGCTGTAAGCCCTGCATTTTCTGATATGCTTATAATTAATTTTTCTTAGAGTAAAATTTGTTGTTAATATTTGTATTAACAGTGACATCTTAATGTCCAAGCCAAGGTTTGGTATACAGCAGAACATACAGTAGGAGAGAGACAATCATTAGAGCTAAGTATACACAAAGCAAGGGAGGAATTGATGACTGTAAAGATGACAGATTGCATACTGGCAGTGACAAAATCAGGACTAGAACCCTGGACTTCTGATTCACTGGAAAATGCCCTAAAGTTGTTGACTATCCTGAAACCTGAGAGGTGAAAGGCCTGACTGATCTTTTCCTCTTGTCCTCAGTCAGGTCATATTTATGTCCAACTGTAACGTTTTGATTTGACCATAGGTACATGGTTGTCCTATTTATGATTCCATTAGCCAAATTCTTCATGGACCCATGGAAGATAGGGAGGAAGAGAGATTTGGTTTCTGAAAGCAAAATCTTGGGAACTTTGGCGCAGAAGTCTTTTGATTTCTGTAAAGCTTAGTATCTTTTAAGAACAATCTTGTTTTCATGTTCATGAAAAGAGGTGATGACAGTCCTCCTGTGCCACAGGCATAATTGAAATACTCAGTTATTACTGCTGATTCTTTACCAGCATCTAACAAATCCTTGAAATACAGAAGTTGCCCCCAGATAAGTGATTTTAGGGTCTGGAAAACCTAAGTTGACACAGGTAGTGACTGTACAACAGCAAAAATAATTTTTCTATCTTTTGTTTTGGTTGCCCCTGCCCAAACCAATAGGTGGAATTCTTTGAACCCTTTTGGGATAGTGGAGAACCACGAATTGGAGAAAAAGGAGCAAGAGGCTGGAAAGCATGGATGCACCAACAAGAAAAGGGTGGCTGGATTGCTCTTAAGACTGGTATGCCTGTGTCAATATGTGTAGTTGTAAATCCATGTGTTCTTCTAGACATTTTGATTAGAGTGGTACAAGCTGTTTCTTCTCATGTTTTTGCATTGAAGTTTTAAAAAATACTTACCAAGATTAAGAAGTAATATATCACACTTCACAGGGAAAAGCATATGTTAAGTGCTCTATGTGTGACACTGTTTATGGAATACTGTCCTTCGTAGGGGTGAGAATGAAGGGAGAAGATGGCATATCCTCCACTTCGTGCTGAGTAAGCAAGTTTGGCTCTGCCTTTATGTCGTGGTTTAAGCCCAGCCGGCAACTTGGAACCACGCAGCCGCTCGCTCACTCCCTCCCCTCTTCCTTCCTCCCCTTGCTCCCAGAGGGATGGGGAGGAGAATCAGAGGAATGTAACTCCCACGGGTTGAGATAACAGCACTCCAGTAACTAAGGTATAATACAAACCACTACTGCTACCAATAATAATGATAAGAGGAATAACAAGGGGAGAGGACACAACCGCTCACCACACGCCGACCGATACCCAGTCCAACCCGAGCAGCGATCTGCCCCTTCCGGGTAACTCCCCCCAGTTTATATACTAGGCATGACGTGCTGTGGTATGGAATACCCCTTTGGCCAGTTCGGGTCAGGTGTCCTGTCTGCTTCCTCCTGGCTTCCCCTCCTCCCTGGCAGAGCATGAGTCTGAGAAAGTCCTTGGTCAGAGTAAACATTACTGAGCAACAACTAAAAACATCGGTGTTATCAGCATTGTTCCCAGACTGAAAGTCAAAACCACAGCACTGCACCAGCTACTAAGAAGGAGAAAAAATGACTGCTGTAGCTGAACCCAGGACACTTTAGTAAACAAAGGAACTGAAAAATTATCCTGTGCTTCCCTAGATGAAGGTGAAAGTTCCTTGCCCGTTAACTGAGGTCAGCAGTTCCACTGGTGATGGCTATAGGCATTTTGCCCCAAATTTAGAAGACTCAGTATAGAGAAGAAGACCACTGCCAGGTCCATTATATGTCAGTGCTTTTTCCCATGTGTGTCAAGCCCAAAAGTTCTGGTGCAATCTATAATTGAGTGTAATCTCTAAAACTGACGATTTTTTAAAAACTTTGGTTAGATCACAGAAGTGCTGTCGTTTTTTCATGGAGTTGCTGACTAAAGGAGATGCTATAGATCACAAAAGATATATAGAGAGAGAGTTAAAATCTTGCCACCATCTTTTGTTTTACCTGAAATTTAGGAACTGGGAGAGGGAGTGTTTCATCTAGTTAATGGCAAACATCAGGATGAAGAATTTGGAGGTGGCATAGAAATGGCCTGATTTTTGTACCCCAAAAATAGTTCAGGTAACCATAAATGTTGAGGACTTTTTTTTCCCCTCAACAACAAGAAAGAAAAAAGTAGCTGACAAATCTCCGTGAGCTTTCCCTTGGCCTCCAGGTGCTCATCAGTTTCAGCACAGAATTAATATATGACTGTCACAGGAAAATATGCTAATTGTATGTAATAGTCCAGAGAGAACATCATCAACGTGGGATGTGGTTAAGCACTTTCTTTTGTGTGTGCTCAGCTACATTGGTTATTTTAATTGCAATTTAATATATATATTAAAATACCTGGTATTTTCAGCATTTTTTTTACAGCAGCATTACTCGGCTTGGTTTGCAATGTCTAATGTTGTAATACGACTTTTGACTTACAGTGGTTTTCTCAAAATGTTTTTTGCATGAGTATTCATCTAGCACATTTGAGATTGTGTGCCCAGGCATGAAGTGAAGAACTTAAGTTGCACAAGATGACTGACTCTTGACTGTTGCTTGCAAACTGCTGTTGCTAAAAGCGGTTCACAGCCTGTCAGTGTCTTTTCTCCTCTCTGGGGAAGTTTTGAGTGCTGACGCTGATTCACTAGTTCAAAAACTGGAAATCTCCTACTTTTACAGAGTTGGTGTCAAAACCCAGAACCGTGATGTGGAAATGTTCAGCTCTGTGCTGTTTTATTAACATTGTATTTGTTTACATTTTTATAGTTGTTAAATCATAGAATCAAAAAATGGTTAGGGTTGGAAAATTGTAAGTGAAGTCTGGCCTTTGCATTTGGTGGATTAATTTTTCTTCAATAATTTTGTGTGCTTGTCCTGATTCGGCTTTAGATGATGATGATGATGATGAAGAGATAGATGAGGATCAAGAAATAAAGGATAAAACTCTTCCCAAGTGGCATATTTGGTTGGATATTGAATATTCTCGTGAAGCCAGGCATTGGTTACCTTGGAGGCCAGACAAAAACAAAAAGGAAGCTGAAGAAGATTGTGAAGATCCAGAAAGACAGGTCACTGTGATACAAATAAAATAATGATAAGATGCATTATCTTTTCATTTGAATTCATTGCCAGTGAATATTTTAGAGGAGTAATCATTCTCTTCATTTGGAAAAAAATCTTTTCTTTGTTTGGAACTCAAAATGTACCTGAGGTTTTGTGCTGAGACTTGTGAAATCCATGTGAAGCTCAGAGTAAAGTTTGGAAAGGATTGTAGGCAAATAGCCTTGTCTTTGCTCTTCTGTGATTTCTCTCATCTGTATGTGGACATGTCACAGAAATCCATCTTTACAAAGATACAGTGTTAAATCAACAAAGGTTTTGTTGCCTTCAAGTCAGATAGTTGGATTTTTAATTTTTCTTTTTCCTTACTGGGAGAAAGGTCAAGTCAGACATTGATTTTCAAACAAAAATGTGTTAAATGGCCTAAGCAGTAATATTTTCAGACCCTCATTTTGCAAGTTTTTTATGGAGGTCTTTGATACTCAAGGGCAAAGAAATCTCTTGATAGCTAATTTACAGTCTGACTGGAAGAACACATTGCTTAAGTTGTCTGTTTTGAATTTGAATGACATTCTGTTACCATTTCATAGGAATTCTAAATCTTGATTGACTTGACACAGTTCTTTATTTACGTAAATTACAAGTTTGCTAATTCTTTTTGGTTGCATAAATTAATGGAGTTTGGTTTAATTTGGATTTTTTTTAGGTATTATTTGATGATCTTGGACCATCTTTAATCCAGATTTCTAATCCAGACCTTCAGCGTCAAACACTGTACTCATTTTTGCAATTCCTGGGAGTTCCATGTACAAGAAATCTCTTTCCTTCCAACCTCTATATTGCCATGGATGAAAACAACATCTTCGACAGTGTTCTTTCTGATGAAAAGCCGCTCACTTATGTTGATTTTCCACTTTCTGGATTCAACAGTATTGGTCATATGGACACAATGCTACGAGGAAGACGTCACATAGGCCACTACAAAGAAGGAGAGGAGTTCATACAGAATGTTTTTCATGTTCTATTCCCACTGCTTTCAGGAAAGGAAAAATGTAACCTGTCTGTTTGTTGGTTACAGTATGAAATATCTAAGGTAAAGAGGAATCTGCATATAATCACTTTTGTGATGTATGGCTTTCTTGTATAGTAATGGCTATATTGAATTAGAATAAATATTGCTGAAAATTAAGTCTTGTAGGAGTAAGTACTCACATCGGGAAAATTAAGTCTTGTAGGAGTAAGTACTCACATTGGGAATGCTGTTTAAGATTGCACTGGGGGTGGAAAAAAAACCCCAAACCCTTCTTTTTAGTATGTGTTATACATGACATACATGTAACAAAATCCTGTTACATAGTTACGGTTAAATGTTACTGTAGGATATATTGTATGCTAGGCAGGAATGGAGGCAAGTGGGTTTTTTCCAAGACAAAGTCAGCCAGGTACTTTTACCAAACTATTCTACTATGCGCATAGTCCCCTATGTGCTTAGTCCCCCTATAAGTAAGAGCTTATCTGGTAACAATCAAGTTACATTTGTAGTGTTATTGAAGGAAATAACACCTTACCACTTGAATATGGATTTATTTAAGTAAAACTGCTCTAATAGACGCTCACAGAAGGATGAGAGTCCGGGTTGTCTTCCTAACACTTCAGAAAGTCTAGTATTGTGTTTCTGTATGGAGAAGTTCCCTGTTTCTTACCCAAACATTACCTGACCAGATCTCATGTAATCTTCCCATCCAATTTCCAGATTTATCTGTTAGCACATTCCCCAGTGGGAAAAGTTTCTTGGAGGTTTAATTGTGCTAGTCATAAGCTGCATCTGGCCAGGCAGGATCATTTATTTTCTTTTTCTCAACCATTACAGGTTAGCAGCTCTTTATTTGAGCAGTTGGCCTTTAGGAAGAGTGAGATTTGATATTGCTTAATGACAGTGGCAGGAGTAAGAATGATAAGCCTTGTGTAATTTGGCTATGTTGGAGTGAGCTGACAACAGGCAATTGTGACAACTCGCAGTACTCAGTAGGAACAGATCTGGCTGGTGGTGAAATACGGAACAGCATGAGAACAAACACAATAATGAAATCTAAAAAATGCTGTGAGGTTGTGTTTTTGGTTGGTTTTTGTTTTTCCTTTGTTCTCCCACCCCTCTCAATTTGTTCTGTTTATTCTTCCCTGTAGGTAGTTCAGTGTCTCCAAGGTAAAAAAAAGAAGCAGCTGAAAGCACAAGGGAGGAAGAGTAAAAAGTTGGCCAAGAATCTCCTTAAAGCACCTGACAACCGAAACCACCTTTCTCTCTGGAAGCTGTATGCCTACCTGGAATGGCTGCTTGGTAACATTGATGATGCCAGGAAAGTATTTGACACAGCTCTTTGCACAGCTGGAGCAGAAGGATTGAAGAGTCCCCAGCTCTGCAGCCTCAGTCTCCTTTATGCTCAGCTGGAAGTTGAAATACTAGAAAGTATAGAAGTAGCTGTTACGTCACGTGCTGCTCATATATTGATCATGTTGGCAGAGAGTGGACCATATGTGCCTTATAGTGGACAAGTGTTATCTGTGAATGTGTTGAAAGCTCGTAAAACATACGAGAATGCACTGCAAGATTATTTAAGTAGAACACCAGTTTCCGATCAGGATCAGGGCAGTGATGCTGATCAGCTGGTTAACTTGGTTGGTTGTTATGCACTGTTCCAGTATTTGACTGTTGGGATTGATGCTGCAGTATTAATATATGCACAGACTTCAGAAAAACTTGAAGCTTTGGGTCCACAGAAATGTGAAAATACTGGAGAGAATTTTGGCATTCAGAATTTTCCCCGTGCTCTCGAAGCTGTCACACTGCTGCATACGAATTTACTGAGGTTCCACATGAAAATCAGTATTTATCCTTTGAATCCTCTGCGGGAGGCACTAACGGAGGCTCTGAAACGGTATCCTAGCAACCAGTCTCTTTGGAGGTCATATATCCACATCGAAAGGAAGTCTCACAGTGCTAGCAAAGCACGAAGATTTTTTGATGGTGTCACAAGGTCTACCAACTCTTTAGAACCGTGGCTGTTCGCAATCCAAGCAGAGCAGATGAGAAAAAAACTCACTGACAGTGTCCAGAGGTAGTATCTTGTAGCTCCTTATGTTTATGCTTTTTTTTAATCTGCCTAATCATTTAACAGAGGAGAGAGAATGCCATTATAGTCCTCATTTTGCAGATGTAGAAGCTGTAGCTAGGGAAGGTTATTTGTTCAAGAGTCAGTGGCAGAATCCTGCACAGAATTAAAAGACCTAGGTGATAGTCTCATGTCCTTTCTGGTGGATCACATCGTGTGTGGCTTTGTGTTTGATTACTCCTGACTGACATCAAGATGGTACACATTTCTTTAAGTAATTTTTAAGTAACTAAGAGCCTGCTTAGATGGCCAAGATAGACCCTGTGAGCTTAGAAACTGCTGCATTTTCATATTAGAGCAATAAGGAGTGTAATACAGAGCTACACTGCAGTTTCTGGCTGAGCTTGCTGCCCTACTTTACTCCTGGATCACAGGATACAGTTGTGGCAGATCTGTTTCCATAGTGAGTAGTTTTCATATGGAGTTGTTGCTAGGTAGAAGAGGCTGGAAATTTCCTGAATTCACAATCTGGTCTGGGCCCAAATTTTCTGCTCACAGTGCAGGAGATGTGGGGAACAGAGGTTTGCATTTGTTCTTAAAGCTTGGTCTGTAACAGTTGCCAACCCATTGCTTGGACCTACCTATCCGCTGCTACCTTTGTATCTCTAATAGCATTGGCAGTTTGGTTCTCTGTGTCTGCACATAGCAACGGTGATTTCTAGGAAAATGTTATCTGGAAGCTTCGCATAGCTGTAAGCTTACAATATTCACACTTGATGAGATTACAGAATTATCAGTATACTTTAAAATGACAGTGCGCCCACGGCTTTGATTGCCACAGTCTGGCAAGAGGCAGGCATGCATGATGGTGACATTCCTGAGCTGTCAGTGTATGTCATCCTAAATTGTAATAAGAATTCTACAGACACCAAATGTAAAGAAGGATTGTAATTCAATTTATTGTTAATTACAGACTGACACTGTGGTAGCTTTTCATTATCGGTACTGGAAACCGATGTTAAAATTCCAGAATGATTATTTTCTCTGTGACATTTAGTTCCTTTGGAGATTGTTCTCTGCTAGTGTAGCCTTTCCTATAGGTTATATTTGTATAGGGACAAGCTGCGTGTTGCAAGAGCAGAGTTGAACTACTGCAACAGAGAGAGAAATGTCCTGTCAGTCGTGCATAAAACTAGTGGTTTATGATGTTGTGACAAACTAAGAAAATATCTGTACTATGTGGGACTTATTTTCTATTGTGTTTTGTATTTCTACTTGTTTAAGTGCTTGGAATTCATTCAAAGAAACGAACGTGAAGGGTAAAGCAGTAGTCTGCGTAAATCAGTGTGAGGTACAGTGCTTTAAATGTCTGACTCCATGCAGAATAGATTTCATCATTTTCCCTCACGGCAAAGTTTAAGATGAGAAGAAATACAACCTCAGTGTCCTTTGTAAAAAGAGGCAAGTTAGGAGTAAGTGTTAAGAGTGAGTGGTGGAACAAGCTGGCAGGCTGAGAGAAGAGTACACACAGGCAGAAGTGATGTTGCCATGAGTGCTTCAGACTGTGTCTTCAAGCTTAAGCATCAAAAAGAAGCCTGTTTGTGCTGGCTGTAGATAGAAATCAGTGCTTCAATGAAAGATATGTACCTGCTTTTGCGTTATACCTGGAACTTCGTGGATTTGAAACTCTGGGTAAAAAAGCAAATCATTATTGTTATCATGATTGAGATCCACAGCTGTAATGTAGGCCTTGGTCCAAGACCAGCGTATGGCCTTAGAAAGGTGATGAGGGTAAATTTGAACAGGCTTGCCTGAGCGCCAGAAGGCGGCATGCTGACGTAGACTTGAATTGGGTTTGAGCTGCTGTGCCAAGCTTGGAATGATAAAGGGTCTTGAGTGAAGACTAAGATAAGTGTTTTAAGTTCCTATCATAGGGGTTATTGTACACAAAGATAAATTATCTCCTCCAGTTGGACAGGGTTAATTTTTCAACATGCTGAAAGAATTTTCACAAGAATATCTCTTTTTCTTTTTTTTTTCTCCTCCCCCCCCCCTCCATTTAGAACCGTGTTGATTAGATTAGCAAGTGCTAAAAGTCTGCTTTATACCATTCACAGTTTGTAGCATGAAGTGCAAAACCCCAGCAGTATACAGTGCTGTGTGAGCAGAGAGAGTACGTTGATCTTTATGATGTTTTATGTGGATGTGGTCCTTTATCTTGGGTTTAAGGGATTCTGGTTTCTTTTTTCCTCTGTGTTCCAGGGAAGATGTTGGTGAAGTACATTCTACTATTCCTGAAACTGGGCTAACAAATCGGATTGTAGCTCTGTTTGAACACGCGGTGCAGAGTGAAAATGGTACCCATTGTCCACTGCTGTGGAGGATGTATTTGAACTTTCTGGTAAGAAAAGTGGTGTAGTGGGTTTGGTGTTTTGCTGCCTTTTTTTTGGTTTTTTTTTTTTTTATCATACTTGGAATTTCTTATGAACACATTTACAATACTGTAAATTGAAAAGAAATACTAAATGCTGCCATACCTCATGATTTGCAAGGTGATATATTTTAATTTTAATGCTTTTATTGCTGGGAATATTAATGAAATGTAATTCCTACAGATTAGAAGGAATAATAGCTTGTGGCATTGAAGTGTTAATATAGATGCAGGCAAGTTATTATGTCTGCCATCTTACACAGATAAAAAATACGTCATAAGGTATCAGTAGATGGATTGCACCCAGTCTTACCCAGAATATAAAGGTAAGTGGGTGGGGAACAGCAGTTAGCACACTGTAAAATACAGAGGAGGTGGGGGAAGGAGAGACTGGATTTGCGTTTGAGAAGATGTCTTGTGTGGCACTATTAAGTGACAATTTCTAAACAAATCATAGAACCATAGAATGGTTTGGGTTGGAAGGGACTTTAAAGATCAAGTAGCTCCAACCCCCTGCCATGGGCAGCGACACCTTCCACTAGATCAGGGTGCTCAAAGTCACATCCACCCTCTGGCTTTGAACATTGCCAGAGATGGGTGTCGTGGTTTAAGCCCAGCCGGCAA